GAGCAAATCAGAGGCACAAATTATTTCTACGTTTTTGATCTAGCTTATAGATTCATAGCTAATGGATAATACAAAATTTTGAGGTTATACTGACAAATAACTAATACAAAAGTTGAAGAACTTTTTATGATCTCCAACTTTTCTCTAAATTTTTTTTTTGCACTAGGTACAAATATCATTTTATACATAAAAAACAATTTTTTAATACCATTACGTGCTAGATAAATGAATATTTTGACAAAAACAATTAAAAAGTCTCCATATTGTAAAAACATGGTTTTTACATAAAATTTGACGCAGAATACGATACTTATGATAAAAACCCGATTCATTTTAGTGGGAAATTGTTAAAAATTAATTGAAACAGTTAAATTATCAATAAGAATATTAATTTGTTAATGTTTTTTAAAAATTTTTTTTTTTTAAACTCAACCCTTTAGCTACAAAAGTGCTATTGGTGAGAATTTTGAAGCTCTTAAGGATTTGGAGCTATACATTGTTTAAAATGAGTCTTTAACCACTGTAATAAAATTTGTTATAACTTATAAAATTGAAAATAGGCGATTAAAAAAAAATTCCTTAGACATGTACCTTTTACTTCTTAATATAAAAAATAGAAAAACATTTTCTACTGAATCAGAGAGGTGACGATTAATTTTTAGCAAAATCTGTTAGGTTTGTAAAAGAATGACCCATACAGCTACTCGTGCGTGCTTTTTATGCCCCAAGAGGTACGAAAAAAGATAAAAGAAGTGATAGGAAAGGAAGACCACAGCAAGAGAGTAAAGGAAAGATGAGGTGGAGATGCAAGAGCAAAAGAACCAAGCTCGTGAGCCTGGAAAACACGCGCAACACTTCTTGTACATAAGTATTTCTAATAAAGTATGACTAAATTTCAAGCCATGCTTTGATTAATACTGACACCTAGAAACCCACGTCACAAGAGGTAAAAAGATAAGAGTTGTAATATTAATTTTGTTACTCGAGAAGATTTAAATTATGTTCAATGAAATCGATACAGGCCAAAAATTAATTAAATTTTTTGTACTTCTACTCTTAGTTTAAACTTCTTGTATATTAGTAGTATCATCAATAGTCTTTATGATTAAACGTGAATTATGCTTATTAATTAAAGTTATGCGCTGAAACAGAGAGCTCTACAATTACTCAACTAGTATTTGACAGGTACTTAAGCAGCAATTGGTAAGTTCTTAGGAAGCACTTGTTGAATACTTGGTTTATACTTCCAGAGCAGTTGACAGGTGTTTGACCATAAATCAGCTGGTACTCACCAGGCACGTAATGGGCACTTGGCTGATACTTGGAGGGTACTTCTAAAACACTTGGCAATTACTTAGAGGGTACTTCCCGAGTACTTGTCCGATACTTCCTGGGCACTGAAGGAATTGTAGTGGGCACTTAGCTGATATTTAACAAGTACTTCCTCGGCACTTGGCAGTTGCTTGGTGTATGTTTCCTGGCACTTGGTAGGTACTGGGCAAGTACTTCCCAGGCTCCTTCTGGGCACTACCCAGGCACTCGGCAAGCACTTTTCAGGCACAAAGTAGATACTTTGCAGGTACTTGGCATAGTGGGTACTTAGTGTGAAATTTTTCGGAACTTCAAAAGTACTTAGTGGGTACTTTACAGGCACTTGGGTTGTTCTTAGTGGGGAGAGGGCAAGTGCTTTCTGGGTACCTTCCCATTCCATAGTGAGTACTTGGTCGGTACTTGGCAGACATTTTGCTCTGTTTAAGTCTAATGTTTAAACTGTAAAGCATACTTCAAAATTTATGAGGATTGATTTCCATAATAATACTAACATAAAAAAAAAACTAAGAGTATAAGAACCTAAACTTTATTTTATTTTAAGCTATTCCGGCACAAGCCAAGATTCGAGCTTCACCCAGATGCGTAAGTGCCCCTCCTCCCATCCCTTTGAGAGCGAGCTGGCCTCTACAATTGTCCATAATTTTCCTTCTTCTCTCTTCCCCTATGCCCTTTTGTCTTCTAGGAGAGTGGTCTTCATGGAACTGTCCCATGCGGGGAGGTTAGTCTTTAGTCGGTAGGCGCACTGGGTGAGTCCAATTCTACCACCGAATTAAGTGGGGTGTCAATAAAGATTTCCTGCTCCCCACTCCATCAAAAAAAAAAAAAAACTAATTTTATTTCCAAAAACTGGTAGATTCAACAATTTATTGTTAGTAAAAAGTTGTTCCAGATTCTTATTGATCCATGCGGCTTGCATTACTTCTTGACTTGCCTGTACTTTTTTTTTTTTAATTATAAGATAACATGCAAGATATTGATAGTTGTTATGCAAGTTGGCATAAAATATGCATTTATTACATAAAATAATAGTTTACCATAAGATATTATTTTACCATACAATAACATATCAACATAACATAACATCTCAACACTAACTAACGTTTTAACTTTAAAAAACGTTTTCTTAACATCAACTTTCATTCGCAAAAATGTATTAAAAAATTGAAATATACCTAAGTAAAATTTTTATACTAACCTGTCAAGAAGTTGTCTGCTGAGAAAAGTCATAGATTCAAGAGGAGCTGAGATTCTTAGCACCAAAGAGCTCGTATGAAAATGACAAACGTGGCTAATTGTTAAAACTTAAGCCTTAACTGTTTGACGTGGTTAAAAGAAAAGCATGAAAGCTAAGATCTATTTTATTACGTAATAAAGAATCATGTGGTAATAATTAGAACTTAAACCTTAGCCACAGAGCATATCTTAGGGGTTACAGATGTATAGAAACTCCGTTGAACCTCACAAATGATTTGGCTCTTGCATTGCTTTTCTACTAACCTGTGTGGCTTTTTTATTATTTATTACGACAGAATATGCAAGATAATTATAACTGTCACGTGAGTTTGCTTATTAATTGTACTTTTCATAAAACATTCTTTTTTCAACATTTACTATCAGCCATTAAAATGTTTTAAGAGTTATAACCCGCTTAAAAATTTTTAAGTTGGCCTAAACTTGCACTAAAGTACATGTGGTCAACGATTGGCTAGACTTTGGCCAATCTTGGGCAATGAGAAAGTCCCAAACTTGGATTTTTGTTAGAATATTTGACTTGAATTTAGCATATTTTCATCTAAATGTCTAAAAAATTAATTTGTTACGTCAGGATATTAGTTGGTCTACATATACGAGTTACGAAAAATATTGAGTAAAATATTCCAACGAAAATCCAAGTTTGGGAATTTCTCATTTTCCAATCTTGGCAAAAGTTTGGCCAAACGTTGACCACATGAACTTTGGCGAAAGTTTGGCTAAATGTGAAAATTTTCACGTGGGAATATACACAAACTAAGTATTTGTACTAACCTCTCAGGAAGTTGTCTGCCAAGTGAGGTAATAAGTAAAATTATCTTAAAAGAAACTGTTACTTGATTAAAATTTTCACATTCTTAAAAGTAACATAATAGTCATTGTAATGTTATTGTGGTATTATAATGATTAGAAAGTGATAAGCTTATACCATTACACTCATGCTGTTACATAATTTTACACCTTATTCTTGTTATATTTCTGCAATTACATCTGATGGCTTTAAAACATCACAGCATGAGAAGCAGACAATACTTACCTTGAAACATCAAATCTTAATACAATTAGTTTTAAGGTAGTGGACGCATTTGCGAGCGCACAGATATATATATACATATACGCAGTTCTCACTGCCTACCGACTCAGCTCAATGATAATGTAACAACGCCACGGGTACTTGCAGGCGCGCTATAGCATTCTAGTCTCATTTAGGAGTAGTTTAAAATCTGTTTGTAATGTCTTCTACTTAGAATTATTTGTCTTGAATAATTCATTAAAATGGATTTGATTCCGTAAAAATTGCTCTACCCACTGTTTTCAGGAAATGCCGTCGTTACATATCAGCCTGTACATACAAGCCATGTTCCTCTTAACGAATAACACACAATGGTAAATTCGATTATTTCTTTGCTTTAGTATTGCCATGAGACTTTCCAACAGCATGTGCTGACATATTAGTCGATATCAATTTTCGGTAAGTCCTTAAAGTTTGCACACTTTTCCTGCTCTTTTAACTGATGCTAAAGTTTGACGACGTATTATATTATAAGCCTGCTTTAGTGATTTGGTGTAATGCTAAATAAAACTCATAAGCTTCACATAAGTCGGTAAGTCGGAGTCACAAACTTCTACTCGTAGAAAATCTTGTTATTCTTTGTCTTCAAAAGTCTCTTTAGACATTTTAAAGTCAAACCATCATAGTCAGCTTGAAATCAATAATAAAATAAGACTTGACGAAAACATGGGTACAATATCAGGACAAGTTGTCAGATAGGCAAAAAAAATGAAATAGATAATCATACTTTTAATACATGCTTTACAAAGCTATTAAATTCGTTTACTTAAAGTCACAGCCTTTTTTAGCTCACAGTCTTGCCATACAATACAAAAACTGAGCCAAGTTAGTTGAAATATTACTTTTTCTAGTAGTATTTCTAAAATATAAATTTTCCAAACAAAATCAAAGGATATTCGTTGTTGACCATAAATCCTAAAGGGTTCGTGAGTCAACTCTATAGATGTGTGTATACCAGTGTATGTGGAAGCTCAGTATTAGGAATTCTCAAAAATAGCTTAGACGATGTGATGGCACTCCTGGCATAAACCTGGCATAAATGTATTATCTTATTATAGTAGTATTTTATAGGATATTTAAAAGAATTTGACACACAAATGGAATTTTCCGTTTTTTCAAGATCTACATTGAGTACTGCAAATTCTTAGAATTAACCGTAGGTAAGCTTATCAGATTCTGAAGATGACTATAAATATGTGATTGAGAGATGTTAAAGTAGCTTTCTAAATTTTTTTCTTCTGACATTAAAATTTTAGTGTATCATCTAAAGTTTCTTTAATATCTGCCTTATTAAGCCCTGCACGATCAATAGAAGGTATCACAGCTTAAGTACCATAGGCATGTTGTGATTCACTAGAAGTATCGTCATTACTTGTTTGATTGTATAAATGACTTACTCTTCATGTTTACCTGTAAAAAATAGAAGAATAAAAATAGAAAAATTTTTTTTCACTGAATTTCCTAAATCCTGACTATTAATGATCCCTATAATTTTACCACGATTCAATTTGATAATGTAATAATTAAACTTGAACAACAAATTTAAGAAAGCCTCGAGTACCTATTCAGCTAATGGTTTCTCATTGTTATAGTGTGTAGAAAGAATGCTTGTATGCGCCTTAAAAGCCACGTTTATTTGCTTGAACGTGGCTGAATCTATACTAATTCGTGCTATACGCATGCAAGCTTACCCTGGCATCAAATTTCACTTTTATTGTTGATAAAAATTTATCGTATAAATTGTACTCAAATATTAGCAGCAAGCTCAGAGGCCATGCTTAGTGATACACAGAAAAAGACAGAACTGTTATAGGTATGGAATACCTACTGTGTTGTCACTGCAGCATTCCCCCGTCTAACTACATTTGACATTAAAAGAATGCAATCTATGCGTAGTGTAAAAAAAGGATAAAGAAAAAGCAGCCGAGGATTAACCCCGTATTTTCTTTCAGTTGGCGGAAAAGTGGCAAAAAAAAATCTTAATTAATTTCCAAGCTTAGAGACTAAAAGTAGCTTCGTTAGTGTCACATGACAATGACTTTCAATATTAACAACAAAACTTGATAGTTAAAGAATACCTGTATCATAGTGAAATTAAGGACAAAAATAAAGACAATCTCGTATGCTAAAAGACCTTTCATATAATTTTGAACGATATTTTATTGGTACCGTCTGCTAACTAAAATATTAGTGGCACCTCATCCAATTAAAATGGAAAAAAAGTTTACTAAGAGGTGACACTTTCATAAAATTAAAACTTAAATCTCTACTTAAGTGGGAGTTTATTCTTCAGTTAAAGACAAAAATTCGTTTATAAAATGGCTATTTAAATATTTACATAACAAAGTAGGTCTTATAAGATTAAATGAATGTGATTAGCTTCAATCTGATTAATATTAATTATATAAAACTGTTGTATATACTAAACATACGACAAAAATCGATACAACTAAAAACCTGCTTAAACTAATGCATAGAAGCAAATAAAGTAAAAAAACAATTAAAGCCNATAAGATTAGAGTCAGAGTTCTTACTGTATTTACTACCTCACTATTGTTCATTTTTGTCATCAAATAATAAAACAGTTGTTTGGAACATTTGAAAATTTTTTGTACCCCAAGAAATTACATTTCATAGAAAATAGAGAAAACATCCTCTTGTAACCGCAAAAAAGTAATTAGATACCAATCAAATGGAATGTATTTTTCTAAAAATGTAGTGCATGAAGTGACTTGGAATTCGTTGATAAATTAAAATATAATAAAACGAAGACGCGTTATCTTACTTTTTTCATAAATGTGTATTTTGAAAATTAAAGTTCTATCTCCATCAGTAACACATAACTTTTAACTTTGCATGTCTTAAATAACTTAGTTTTTAATTTTAAACGTTAATAAAAACTATTAGAAAACCTGCGTTTGTCTTATTATCTAATAGTTTCAGTACGTAGTACTAGTATTTAAATAACAAATAATTTAACGTATTACTTTTACAAAGAATTTTATTCATAAATAAGGTATTTCAGTATTCATCAAAAATTGCGACATGTACATTGGTAAAAAAAAAATTTGTTACCCCTCTTCAATAGTTGACTGTTACTATAGGAGTTCGCCAATATCTTGCCAGCTACAGAAATTTTTTACCTTTAGTTTGCATCTGGTTATTACAAATTTTACTTAATTTGATTCTAAAACTATCAACTATGTAAGTCTTCTCGTTATCTGCATAATAATAATTAGAAAATGTATTTAACAGCATAAATGAAGTTAAATAGAGATATAATATTTAAACTAATAATAAAAAAAGTCAGGTATTTTATTAGGTCAAATTTTATCTGATATCTAGGCAGAATACTACACTTGATACGTCATCAGATTCTCTTAGACAAAGATGTACATTTTTATGTGCAGTTTCTCCTTCAATACAAAACAATGTTATTAATTCGTACAAGTTTAGTGTATACAACGAGTATACGTACCATGCATGTTTTATATTAAACTAGCAACCTTCCATCTCGGTTTCACCCGAGACTCCGTAAATGGACATATTGTAGTGCGTTGACCTGTCATTGTTGCATTTGAAGTTTTCTTACCAATTCAGCCTCTTATGACTTTAACCTAAATTTTATTTTTTGTCCACTTTATTGAGTTCTTATATATTTATTAACAAGATAGAGCGTCCTTCAATAGCCCTCAAAAGGACCGGTGAGCTTTTTAAGTAAACTCTTTCTTGACTAAAGTTTCCAACTGACGTGACTGCCTCTGTATCTCAGAGTAGTCTTCTCTGGCTAGCTAATGTAGCAACATACTAATAAGGAGAAAACCTATAACGCCTGAAGCGTTGGAGCTAATTGTAAAGCTCTTTTCCAACGTCTTCTGGTAGTACGCTGGAGATACGAATGTCTAAAGCACCTTCCTTTTTTTGCAGACTCAGTTCCTAGCCTTGAGACGAAAAACTCTCCTCGTAACGTCTGCCAGTGAATAACTCACTTGGTATTGTAGTGACTGGCCTTATAAAATCTTTTAGTTGACGAATCGTTGCTGGTAGTAGTAATTATTGTGAACTTATTTGTAAGATAGTTTAACCTTAGTTGGCCTTTTGAAAAACTGACTAGATTGATGTTTAAGTACGAGACGTAAATACTCATAATGGGCCAGTGGTAAGAGTTTCAGCTATTCCTTACTTTTATCCTTGATAATGAAGAGCTGACTGCAGATAGCTTGACTTTTATCTTTGGAGTTTATGGGTATAAATGCTGTGATGGAGAAAGGTACGCCACTGTCCAAAAAATATCTCGTCTTCGATTCGATCCCCAGATAACCAACCGCTCATAGTTAGTCAGGTGAGTGGGCCTGAAGAATACCTTCTCTGAGGGTATGCCGTTACCACTAATCGCTGAGAAGGCCGTTATGGCTGCCTTAACTCCTCAAAATTGTTCTTCCTGGCTTGCTGTTGTAACAAAACCTGCTCTGGTAGCGCCAGGTTAGTTGGAAGTATGGCCATAAATCCCCAAATGGCTAGGGTAGATTATGATTTGGGTAGACGTCTCTTGGTGTTCCAACGAAGACGTTAGCGTTCAAAACGTTTTTGTGTTGGGGGCACTCGTCAATCATGGTAGCTTTAAATAGAGCTCGACGTAAGTCACTTGTACATTAGACCATAGTGTTGCTGGTAGCCAGAATATCCAGTTGCACAACTCCTAGCTTGATGCTTCGTGCACTACCAACGATCAACTGTGGTATTCAGAGTTTTATGCTCAGGCATATCATAACAAAACTTAAATAAATTTACTGCAGTTATCTTGGATTTTACTTCTTTGCCACCTAGCGAATCCTACTAAACTGAAGTATAAAGCTAGCGTATTTTTACAAAACATTGAACTCATTAATCGCTGTTTTTATTAATTTCCCTAAATGTCAAAACTGTATGCAAGCCATCTAGAAAGTATCAAGAATTCGTCAGAAAAATTTCAGCAAGATCGGCATAGAAGTTTTTACTGTTAGCGATTGCAACGGTCTTAGCGACTTTGCTTTACATACTACTAGGATAGAAAAATTATTCTATTTCCATTTTTAGTAATAAGACCTAGGTAACAGTTTTGGTCAAAGCATTAAATGTTTTGCCAGATAAAAAATATTTCTATCAGTTCATGCGTTTATTGACCAAGGTTCTGAGTAACATCCAGTGAGAACTATAGGATAAGATTAGAGTCAGAGTTCTTACTGTATTTACTACCTCACTATTGTTCATTTTTGTCATCAAATAATAAAACAGTTGTTTGGAACATTTGAAAATTTTTTGTACCCCAAGAAATTACATTTCATAGAAAATAGAGAAAACATCCTCTTGTAACCGCAAAAAAGTAATTAGATACCAATCAAATGGAATGTATTTTTCTAAAAATGTAGTGCATGAAGTGACTTGGAATTCGTTGATAAATTAAAATATAATAAAACGAAGACGCGTTATCTTACTTTTTTCATAAATGTGTATTTTGAAAATTAAAGTTCTATCTCCATCAGTAACACATAACTTTTAACTTTGCATGTCTTAAATAACTTAGTTTTTAATTTTAAACGTTAATAAAAACTATTAGAAAACCTGCGTTTGTCTTATTATCTAATAGTTTCAGTACGTAGTACTAGTATTTAAATAACAAATAATTTAACGTATTACTTTTACAAAGAATTTTATTCATAAATAAGGTATTTCAGTATTCATCAAAAATTGCGACATGTACATTGGTAAAAAAAAAATTTGTTACCCCTCTTCAATAGTTGACTGTTACTATAGGAGTTCGCCAATATCTTGCCAGCTACAGAAATTTTTTACCTTTAGTTTGCATCTGGTTATTACAAATTTTACTTAATTTGATTCTAAAACTATCAACTATGTAAGTCTTCTCGTTATCTGCATAATAATAATTAGAAAATAATTAATTAATAACAAACCATCTAAGTAAATTGGTTAGTAAGGCTAAGACTCTTGGGTATATATAAGTTGGTTTTAAGTAGACTTATAGTTTGTACACCCTAAACCATACAAGTTTGATATATGATATACAAAACTAATATTTTTTTAAGGTGCAGATACCAGGATTTAAGTATACGAATTTTTGATGGATAGCCCAGCGTTTGAACCGCAGGGCTATTGATGTGTTACAACTACTGTACATCTTGTTCCCTATGTAAAGTATGCTACTAGGACACAGTTTTAAATTACTCAATCGTTTTATTGACCTATCAAATGATAAAAATATTTTCTAAATAATAAATAAAAAAAAAATTCAATAAGGATATATATGGTTATGTAGATAAAATCAGACAAGGTGCGTTATCATGCATTAAATAGTACTATTCCATGCATTTCATGCATATCAATACTGAGCAATTCTTTTTTACCCTAAGCTT